GTACAGATTCAGTATCTCCCATAGGAGGAGTGGCGCCATCTCCTCTGCTTTGAGGGAAGTATGGTCCTTTCCGTTGATCATGAGACACATTCGTTGACCTTTGTGCCTCTATTCTATCTAGATCTGCTTCAGAACTGTCCATCTCAAACCTAAAATCATCACACAAATTGTTTGAAAACACAGATTTAATTTCCTAACTTCCCCGACCACAAACAAAAAAAGTCAACCATTGCATGAAGAAGGGGCAGAGAAAGACTTACCAAGTGGAAGAAGAAGATGAGTAATGCAAGAGGTTTTGCTAAAGGTTGACGAGATTGAGACAATAAGTTCATCCATTTATATTTAAAGTCAATAATGTCTTGAGCCACGTCGAGTCATGATGAGTGGTATTCACCTATAAATTAAGAGAAACTATTTCTTTAGTCAGATATTGTAAGGAGAAATATTCAAGACAAAGATTAAAAAATGACCCGAGTTAATAAGTCATTAAGTTATAATTAAAGACTATGAAGTCGTCTCATAATAAAGTCTAAATTACTCCATAATTAGTTGTATTTTGCTGGGAGAAAGTGACAATCTTGACCCTGTAGCCCAAATTTGATACGAGTAAAATTAGATCTAAGACTACTCTTTCAAAAAAATTTTTTGGGTTCACCCTAATTCATTCACCCCCTCTTTAATAACCAATCAGAATTTGCCATGTCATCTGATTAAAAAAATTAAAACAATTAATATTATCAAAATAAAATAATTCAATTAAATCATTAAAAACTCACTCTTTTGTAAATCAAAACCGATATATAATCTCATTTAACTACAAAATCTAAACCCTAATTCTCGTTTATAAACCCAAACCGCCATTTAAACTCATTTAATCATAAAAAAAACTAAACCCTAGTCGTATTTTCTAAACTCAAACCGACATTTAACCTCGTTTAATTGTAAAATCTAAATCCGTTTATAAACCCAAACCGATATTTAACCTCGTTTAATCATAAAATCTAAACACTAATTGTATTTTTTAAACCCAAACTGACATTTAACCTCGTTTAATTATAAAATCTAAATCCGTTTATAAACCCAAACCGATATTTAACCTCGTTTAATCATAAAATCTAAACCCTAATCGTACTTTCTAAACCCAAACTGATATTTAACCTCGTTTAATTGTAAAATCTATATCCGTTTATAAATCCAAACCGATATTTAACCTCGTTTAATCATAAAATCTAAACGGGAAAATCACATTTTTAACCCTAAAAGTGTCATTGGGTAGCACTTTAAACCTCCAAAGAATTTCACTAACACTATAAACCACTAAGATAATTTTACTAATACTTTAAACCTCTAAACTAGTTTTTCTGTTTCCACCTCCATAAAAAATAACAAAAAATTAATTTATGTTTGTGCATGTAACATTAATTTATTTAGTTTTTAATTAATTTTACTATTTTTAATAATTTTAAGATTAAAAAAAAGAAAAAAAAAAGAAAACAAAACTTCATCATCTTCGACTACTCACCGTCAGACCACAAAATTTTCAGATTTTTATTCCGTTTATTATATGTTTTCACCATCTGTTTATTGCAATTAATTAGTATTATGAGATCCCAATTTATTCACTGGAGAGAGTGAAAACGTTTTTGGATCAATCTCCCAATAGATTCCTCCGATACGGAGAATACTTCGTTTTCCGGCTAAGATTCAACATTCTTTGGTTTTTCTTACTCTATTTTAAGCTTTTCTCGTACCTCAGATTCTACATTAGTATATATTTGGTTTATATTATTCTACTTTAAGTTTTTCTTGTGCTTTAGTTTCTAGTTTCAGAAGTTTATCATGAAATTTCATAGTCGGACGGTGAGTGAAAGAGGAAATGATTTTTTTTTGTTTTTTAAAGATTTTTATTAATTGTAATAAATAATAAAATTATTTTAATTTAAATTAAATTAAATAACTTACATTAAATAAATATTAATTAAATTTTTCGTCATTTTTAATGACAGTGCAAACAAAAAAGCTAGTTTGGAGGTTTAAAGTGTTAGTAAAATTAACTTAGTTGTTTACAGTGTTAGTGGAATTCTCTAGAGGTTTAAAGTGTTACCTAGTGATACTTTGAGGGTTAAAAATGTGATTTTCCCAAATCTAAACCCTGACTTAATCTAATAAACCCAAACCGATACATAATTTCGTTTTAGTTGCAAATTAGATTTTATAATTAAATTAAATTCTTTTTATTATTATTAGGTGTCATATTCTGAGTGGTTATTAAAGAGGGAATGAATGTATTTGGTTCACCCCTAGGGGTGAACCCAAGTATTTTTATCTTTGAAATAAGAGATTGTGTGTAGCATTTTAGGGTCGAAATCCACAAAGCTCTCGTGCTCACACAATAGACTAACAGATTTTGAATTAAGCTAAACAGAAAAGATTGTAAATTAAAAGAAGCAAGCAAGTAAAATCGGTTGTAAATTCAGATGAGGAAAACGTCAGACTTAGGGAATTTCTCAGGAAATAGATAAATAGTAGATCTAGCAAATTAATCAGGATTATTATCGCACCGTTCTAGAACTCAAATCACTAATTTATAGACACCACCTCTCGAATGAATTGACTAACTAAACCTAATATCAGGAAGTTCCATCTCTCGAATGTAAACTCCTAGAATTAGACTAGCAGTAATAACATGTTTGATATGTTCATATATATTCCTATACCACTTATCGTATGTATCTAGTAATTTCTGCCCACCTAAGATAGTTCCAGTAACAGGTGACCTCTCGAATCTATCTATTATCCTATGATCAAGTTCTAGTTAGCTACTCTAGAACTAGCATTAAGAACAATCTAAGATGAAGAACTCTAAAGATTAATCCTAACATGTAATCGATCTACTAATTCATCTAAATCCCTAATGAGAATTCTTAAACCTAACAGGCAAACTACTCAGATATAGAGATTGAAACAAATAACATGATTGAATAGAATTGCATAACGAAATTCAATAAAAGAGATGAGTTAAGAAAGATCTTCTCTGGAGGAGCTCTCTCCAATTATCTCTCAAAGGGTTTAAGCTCCCAAGAATACAATAGAATGAGAATTAAGAGATCTGTTTTAAAACAAAAGCCTAAAAAACTATTTATATGTTCTTAAAAACGTGCAGGGACTTCTTTGAAAATAGAGAAAACTTCTGGATACTTTCTGCAAATTTTCAAAACTTCAAAGTGACGCGAAATTGAATTGATGTCACGTATTGGTGTCGACCGACACCAGGGGTGATGTCGATCGACACCTACACCAATTGGTCTCCGGATTGCCCTTGCATCATAACTTTTCTGTTTTGCTTCAGAATTATCTATAATCTCCAAATTGGTCTCGTATGTGCATTAATCTGAAAAAGACTAGAAAAAACTCTAGATTTAACAAAAAAACTCTAAAAACAATACCTATATCATGGTTAAAAACTGTAAAATCCATGATATATCAACTACCCAAACAAAGATTAAAAAATGACCCGAGTTAATAAGTCAGTAAGTTATAATTAAAGACTTTGAAGTCGTCTCCTAATAAAATCTAAATTACTCCACAATTAGTAGTATTTTGCTTGGAGAAAGTGACAACCCTGACCCTGTAGCCCAACTACCCAAACCAACAACATAATTTGATGGAGCAAGTTGAGGCGGGGTTTAAGCTGAGATGCTTCTAACATAACACCGAGAAGACATGTGACATATCGGAAACTTGTAAACAAGCTAATGATTTTAGGTATACCAGAAATCTAAGTTCATCGCACGTTTATTATAGTTTACTGTGTTTATTGGTTGGACCTTATCCACACTGTACTGCCAAATAATTCAAAAGCTTTAAGTTGAACCAATCAAGCGTTACGCTTGAAACTTTTTTTCATGGACATCAAACTTCATTCAATCACTTTTAACAAAACATTGATTATTTTACCTATCTTGTTGCACATCGCTACATTTTACTTTAAATAAAATATAAAAAATTGGCCCAAAAATAACAAAACAAAAGTTTAAAGGGGGATTAGCAAAAATACCCTTTTTCTCATGCCTCTTTTTTAAAATGCTTCTTTTAGATGTCTATTTTCAAAAATGCCCCTTTTTAAATCTGAAATTTTTATAAAGTTTTATTAGGTTTATAAGGTACTTATGGATTGTAACTACTACTTGAAGACTCGATCCAAGTATTTATAAGGTTTTATAAGGTATTTTTAAAGGTTTTACAAGTTATTTTAAAGGATTTTTAAGGTTTTTCAAAGGTTTTACAAGATATTTTAAAGGTTTTTAAAGGTATTTAAAATGCATTTATAAGGTATTTATAAAGTATTTATAAGATTTTAGATACATAGAAATGTAGTTTGTGTATGTTTTAATAATATTACATACATATTTGGGTAAATCTTATATTTTTAAGAGCATTTTTTATAAGATTTTAAAAAAGGGGTATTTTTGAAAAGTGACATTGAAAAATTGGCATTATTAACAATTTCCCTTTAAAGGTCCTATTAACTTTATTTTACTATTATGGTTTTGTATAGACTAGATTAGACCAGCCCGAGTTTAATTTTTTTTGAAATAAAATTAAATTTAACAAAAAATAACTTAAATTTTATTGTAAATAGAAACTATATTTAGGAATTAGATATAGATTCTTTTAGTTAGAGAAAATAGTCTTTTATATATTTAATTTTCTTTAATACACTAATTTGTATTTCTATATTTAAAATTTAATGTTTCAATTATTATTGTTAATCTTTTTTGTTGATTAATTATTATTGTTAATCTAGTAAAATTAAATTATCAATCACCAAAACTTTTACCAAAATATTCATCATTATTGTTATTACTAAAATAAAATAAACGTGGTTTCAAAATTCCGCCTAAAATATAATTGCACAACTTTTTCTATGATAAGTTTCAGACGGACACACTACTATATTCTGCATAGGGGTGTCAAAATGGTTAACCCAACTCAACTCAACTCATTACCCAATGAGTTTAGAGTTAAATGAGTTCATGAGTTGACCCAACTCAATTGGTTAAGTGGGTTGGGTCAACTCATGAACTCATTTAACTTGATGGGTTGAATGGTTAAATGGGTTGACCCATGAAAATAAAAAGTATTTTATTAATTAGAAAACTATTTAATTAGTTAAATTTTATGAAGTGATAACTTTGTTTTATTTAGTTAAATTTAAATAAATTTACATAAAATTACTTACAACTCTCAAATTTGGTATCTATATATAACAATATTTGAGAAGTGTTTTTGCTGACGTGTCGGACTCTCGGCTCTTGTTGAGTCCTTGATTTTACGTAATTACTTAATTACCCTTAATGAAATCTAATTAATTTTGGAAAAATTAAATTGAATTTCGGAATTAACCAGGAAATATATAACAATATTTGAGAAGTGTTTTTGCTGACGTGTCGGACTCTCGGCTCTTGTTGAGTCCTTGATTTTACGTAATTACTTAATTACCCTTAATGAAATCTAATTAATTTTGGAAAAATTAAATTGAATTTCGGAATTAACCAGGAAAAAATAATTTTGGAAACTATAAACATGATAATTAACCAAAAAAAAAAAAGGAACAACGAAGTACCAGTTAGGAAGCTTTAATTGAATTCATCGTGTTCTTCGTCGTGTGAATATAATTCTTCTAAACGAAGGCAAAACTTGAAATCCTAACATAAACCATATATTCATAGCAATAACAGAGATCTAATAATTTAGTGATAGAATTTCACCTGTTGATCTGTCGAAGCAGAATAGTCAAGCGTCTCATAGTATCTTGCCCATGTTATGTCTTTAAGACGTCAATACTATCCTGCACCCTATAATTCTAACCAATGAAAAGAACAAATATTTATTACCTTGGATACAGAGTTGACGAAGAAACCTTGGATAAAAACTCGACGAAGAAACTTGTAAGTGTTAATGTATGATGAAGCTTCCATGAACGTGAATTCGTGATCATAATGAAGAAACGTGTGAATGGAGACGGTTGATGGGTTTTTTTTTTTTTTTTTTTTTTTTTTCTTTTTTCTTTTTTACCTTTTGTGTAAACAGATCCGTTTCATAATTTATCGGAAGAGGAATTATACCAAAAAAAAAAATCGGAAAAGGAAAATATTTATTATAATATTGATATAACCCACCAATTTAGAAACGGTTATCACGCCATCGTATTGTTCTTCGGATGATTATAAGTCTCTAATCCGGAGATTGACTTGAACCCTAACAAAAACATATATTCATAGCATAAAATCGCAAATAGAAGGTAGAAGACCACCTATTAATCGGTTGTAACCTTGTGCAAACTCGATTTAATTTTGACGAATGAAATGTTGGTGTGGTGTCAAAACTTTCTTGGGGAGACTCGAAGATGAGAGAGCTGAAGTCAGAGATAGGCAGAGAGGTTTACATGTGAATTAAGGTATGGAGTGCTAACGTGAACATGAACGTGAACGGCGGTGATTTTTGCACATAATAGCAATTAGATCGAGTTTTGGAAAAAAATATGGATCAGCGTGACATGACGCATATGGATACCATGCATGTCTATCTATTGTAAATCAAAAATTATATTATTGTTCCGCCTTATTTTTGAAACAGAAAGGAATTTTCCCTTAAATTTTAATATATTTTATAAGATAGTATCAGATATAGTAGTAAATCTAAAATAGTTGTTATTATTCCATATTTTTACGGAAAAAGTAAATATTATTTTAAATAAACATGGATAACAATGAATAAATGGCAGTTTTACAAATATTTATTATTATGATAGTGATTTGCTTATTAAAATATGTAAATTTTCTTTTCTTTTTTTGTATTTATCGTCGAAAAATTTAGAAACCCTAAATCATGCACCGCCTCCTATTCAATATAAATACCTTGCTCATGGTATTCAATTTCAGATCATAACTAACCCTTGTTTTTTTTGTTCTTTTTTTTCAAACTTTTTTTTGCTTCTACCTAATTTTAATTTTTCTTTTTATTGTAGGGTGGATGTATGGAGGGGACGATGTGAACTGGTGTATAGAAAATTTGGACCTAATTCAATGAATAAACAGGTGATCTTATAGTTTATATGTACAAATTTGATTTTTTTTTTTTTGTATTTATGGTTTCACTATTTTCACCACTAATCAATTTTTATAATCAAAAAGTTTAGTTTCAACTTTTGAGAAGGTAATCATCGATGGTTTGGTATGTTTCTTTTTGTTGTAAAAAGATGAGGTACCTCCCGATTTTGTTGAGGTACATGTTCTTATTATTTTCAAATATGTCTTTTTTCAGAAGAAACACTCAACTTTTGATAACACAGTTGCCACAAAGTCAGAAAAAAAGATGACTTATTTCAGGGATGAATCTTCAGAGGAGGCTAATTTTTGTCGTTAATACAATTTAAGTATTCCTCTCTTTAGATTATGGATAACAAACTTGGCTGTTAAATTCAGGAATTACTCTTCGTTGCCAATCTCTCTCCCCAAACTAAAATATTACATATATGGAAGTAGTAACTTAAAGTTTTTGGTATCGAGGTCATTCTAAGGCACTGAGATTCGGACTTTGGTATGTATAGGATTCGTTTTCCATGCACTAAGATTTAATTATTGTTTAAATTATTGGTTTTTAGGTTTCATTCCATGCTCTGATGCGTTTTCGGGTGTGCCAATGGAAACTTGCATCACTCTTTACTCCAAGCGTAAGTATGCTCTGCATTAGCTTCTTCTGTTCCATTGGTTATTATAGGTTTTGACTTTTGAGAAATATACAACAATTTAAAACCAGGTTTTGTTGTTGATTGGTTCGGTTTGTATACCATATTTTGCTAAATACATATGACCATAAATAAGACCAAAGGAGCTGGGTTAGCTCCTTTGCCATCTAGGTTGACTTCGTCTCCTCCCCGTCTTGCGGATTTCCGTTATTCAACGGGTATATTTGAGAAGTATACGGTACTAAAACCACAACCATTGATCTTAGCTTGATCGGTTCTTCCCTAGGATTTATACATAAAAGTAAATTGTTTTGTTTAATAATTTTCCATTGCATGAACTTTCGAGACAACAAGTGGACAAGAGTGTAATGTCATCAAAAGTCAAATCAAACACTGTGAGGAACATAATAGACAACGTTGGCTTCTTTCGCAGCTGCTCAACGTTGTCTCTCCCGATGGTCCCAACACTCTCTTCTTCTTTTTTTGTCAACATTCAAACGTTGTTTAAAATAAATAAAAATGTTTAACCTTAATCATCTTTCTAGATCTTTAAATGCCTAAAACTTCACTTAATCAGTCAGCAATCCGTCACGTTAATGATTTTGAAAGGAAGACTTTTGTTTTGTTTTGGTTAGTTTTGTTTGTTTAGTATTTTAATCACAAGATAACTCTAATTTCCCATTAGAGTTGTCTTAATTGTGTTGATTATGATTTGGCGTTCCAATTCTGATATTATTTTTATGTTGTAAATCTTAAACTGTTACGTTATTGTTCTATCTTCCTATGTGAGAAAAAAGTAAAATGTTTTAAAATTTTGACATGGATAATAATATAATTGTAAATCTATAATAATTATATTATCATTTTATTTATATTTTTCAAAAAGAAATATATTTATCTTAATAGATTTAATATGATAATGTCAAATATAGTTATAAATCTAAAAGAGTTATGTTATTATTCCATCCTTTTATGAGAAAAAAGCAGATATTCTCTTAAACTTTTAAATTAACGTGGATAATAATAAATAAATGATAATTTTACTAATATGATAATGATTCGGTTTTAATCTTACCAAAAAACAAATAATGATTCTGTTTTAAGAATATATAAATTTTCTTTGTTTAGTTGTAGATATTGTCATATAAAAAATTCTTAGATCCTCCACTGCCTTAATTTTATGTAAATACCTTGCTTGATATTTAATTTTGATTTGATATCATAACTAATCCTTGCTTTTTTTTTCGGCACTAACCATGGAATTTTTTATACTGCCATTTAATTCTTGCATAAAAAATATTAATTAATAGTAGTGTTTATTATGAATGCAGGTTTGTTTTCCATAAAAACTAGATTGGATTTATGGAAGCACGTCATTGTTTCCAGTGCGAGGAAACAAATGTCGTATCACTGCTGTTGTGGCTCTTTAGTACTTTCGTTTCTGTTTATGGCTTTGCTTCGGTTGTATGGTTAGTCATCAATCATTGATCTTCTCATTGTTTGAATATTGTTGCATAGGAAAAATCTTCCTTTTTTATGAATCTTTCAAAAGTTGGGTCCATGCTATTCTCAGTGATTGATTACGTTTATTGAATATTTGTGTGCTTCCTCTGCTGATATTCTAATTCATGCTTTATTCGTCGTCTTTGATACACTCTGATTAACCATTGTGGACCTCTAGAGTCTAATTTGCAATATTAATGCAAGTCTCTTTAACTTACGGATTATGAAGAGCATCCTAAGATCGTTTAATTTGATTCAGGCTTTATGTGGCTAATGTTTGGTCTTGGATGTGAATTAGTCTATCATGTTTCTTGGAAGGTAGGAAGCAATCTTGATGTTTACCAAAATCCAATGTGCTCTTTTGTAGCTCAGTTTTGAAATATGTACTAATTATTGTAGAGGGAACCCGAAACAAAGAGACCATATGTATGATTTTATATGCGAAGAGAAGCTCCGAATTTGAAATCGTCTCCACTCCGGTGATATGTGGCCATGGTGTGAAGGAGTCTGGAGCCATGGTTATTTCAGATTTGGACATAACCGTAATTGTTAAACTAATAAAAATAAGATCAAACGTACCGGATTGATGAGAATTTTTGGTGTTCTTCGTCATGTTCTTCGTCGTATGGATCTAACAAAACAAAAAAAAATATATACCCCAGAAATATTTTTTGTTTGTTAATAGAGAGAACCCACCAATTTTGTAGCGTTGATTGTGACATCGAATTGTTTGTCGGATGAATATAAGTCTCTAATCCGGAGACTGAAGTTGAACCCTAACAAAAACATATATTCATAGCATAAAATACATAAATAAAAGGTAGAGCATCACATAGCTTTTTCTTCAAAGCCAACACATCTCTCTTTGTAG